AGCCTGTTGTCTGTTTCACAGAAACAAACCTGTCCTTCTAATGCTTTCTAATTTTGGTATCTGTTAATAATCGGGATGGATATATTTAGACAGCACAGTGTTTGAGTCATACTGTTACCCACTTGGAAGACAGTAAAAGCAAATGGTGGTTTTACTTCAGTGTTTTAGCATTTTCCCCATTCTTTCTCTGAGTGATCAACACTAAGTGAATATACTAATAAATAATCAGGAGCAGGTGCATACATTAATCAGGCATTATACTTAAAGTAGTTTGGCCTTGAGAACAGATTTGGGAGAGCCTTAATCAATCAGTTTCAACTAGTATATCTCCTTTTCTCCCACTCTCCCACTATCTCTCTCTTTTTCTTTTTCATTTTAACTCTTAATTGTGAATTGAGTGAAGGTTTACAGAACAGAGCATCGGTTTTACAGTCAACAAATCACATACTTTGTGTCATTACAATGATTGCAGTCCCCTCCATGTACCAACAGTTAACAGGGTTTACCTCTATTCACTTTAACTCTTACATTCCTCCCTGTGTCTCCTGCTACCTTCATCTTGTCTCTGCCAGCCTCCCTCTTGTTGTGTATTGCCTGTCCCATCACCCATGTTAATATGTGCCTACCTTCTACTCCCCTGTGACCATTGTAGAATGTTTCTGTTATCAAGAAAACCTTTTCTTAACATTTTAAAAAAGGGAACCCATAAAATATTTGTACTGTTGTGATTGACTAATCTCAAACAACATAATGCCCTCCAAGTTCATCGATGCTGTGAGGTGTTTTGTAGCTTCATTGTTATTCTTCAGCATTGTGTAGTATTCCACTGTGTGTATGGACCATAGTTTGTTTAACCGTTCTGTTGGACATTTAGGCTGTCTCCATCTTTTTGATGTGTCTCTTGTAGACTGCTTATTAAAGGATCCTGTTTCCTTATCCATTCTGCTTTCTCTGTTTCCTGACGGGTTTATTTAGTCTATTTGCACTTAGTTTAGTTATCAATAGGTGTGGATTGATTGCTGCCATTTTTCTTTTTGGGTTTGTGTGGTCCTACTGGTTTCTTTGTTCCACATAATTTTCTGCACTGTGTTCATTTTCTCTGTGGTTTTCATTTCATTTTCATTTCTGTTGTGTTCATGTTTACTAGGTCTTTCTGATTTTGTTTTTATTTTGATACGAAGGTGTCTTAATTTTCTTTGAGGTTATCTTGTAATTTATTAATTTTTCTCCTTTTAAACCGTTTTGTTTTATCTTGAAATAATCTTGCCATTTGGAAGTTCTGTATCTACACTGTTTCCTCCTTTTGCTTTGTAGTCAAAATCACTATAAATTGATGCCTGTGGTTCCCTATTTTCAGTCTCATAGGTTTGTTTTAATTTAAATACTTTTATATCTGGATTGAGTTGTGGGTGGTGTTGTCATGTATGTTAATCTCAGGTGTTGTCTGCTGTTGTTTGTTTTCAGTCCAAAGAACACTCTTCAATATTTTTTTTGTAAAGTTGGTCTGGTCACCAGAGGCTCATAGGAAAAAAATGGAATTGCATTGTTCTCATCCCCTGTGTTAATCTGCTCTACCAGGCCACCTTTGTTGCCAAAAACTGCTCACAAAAGTTCAAGATGGTCTCACCAATTCTTGCTGGCCATACACCAGTGAATCTACCTCTCTCTCTGTCCCTGTTCAGTTTTTCCTCCCAGCAAGTACTCAATCGACTTCTTTGATCTTTCCTCTGAAGTTCATCATTTCAGAATTTTCATTTGTGCCAGCAAGAGAAGGGATCATTTACAAGGAGCAAAGCTCCCTTCTGACTGAACCCTCACTGTGCTTACTTTGCTTATACATTTATTCATTAAATGTGTCGTAGGGGAGAACAGAACAGAAATTCAAATGTGTATTACAGTGATCCCTTGTCGAGGTCTTAAACAGGACCAAGACAAGACAAAGATTGAGGCAGAGCCTCTGGATGAGGGAGACCATCGACACGGGGCCATAATAGTGTCCAAAGCATATGCATCCACATGTCCAAAGTATAGGGCACAAAGAACAGAGGAAATCCACCACAGAACCATGGTTGGTGGCAGATCATCACAGGCTCTTTGGAAATGAAAAAGGGATTGTGATTGGGATGTATACACTACCCCGGAATAGCAGAGTTTACAGGATTGATGCTGAGGGACTCTGGCCACCTTGGTTGGGGTATCACTTATAACCATGCCTCCCTGACTCCCCTGTCTCCCAGACAAGTCCATGAGGGCAAGTCAGCCCCTCTCTGGACTGGCTAGAAAATCCACTTTCATACACCTTGCCTGAGGGCAAAACTGCCTCACCCTGCTTTCCCAGAATCTTCCTGGTCACACTAGCAGTTTAGCTATCAGCACTAGTGGAGTAGATTAAGCGTTGGGCTGCTAACTGCAAGGTCAGTAGTTCGAATCCACCACTGGCTCCGCAGAAGAACGATAAGGCTTTCTGCTCCTACCCAGGGTCATTATGAGTCAGAACCAATCAAAGGCACACCACCACCAGCACTGTGTCAAGTACTCGAGATGACATCTGAATTTATGTCAAGGCTTATGTTGGAGGTGGTCTCTGGCCACAGGCCACAGCCTTCTGCAGACCAAGTACCTATGAAGTCCAGGCTCTAACACAAATTCATTCACTAGGAAACTACTTGTTGAGCACTTTTTGGTTTCCTGTGACTGCTGTACAAAAATGCCACAAACTTGAGGTTTAAAACAACCCAAATGTTTTCTCTTTCCGTTCTAGAAGTCAGAAGTTTAAATCAAGCTGTCAGCAGGCTTACCTGGCTTTTTGAGGTCTCAGGGGAGATCTGGCCTTCCTTCAGCTCTGAGAGACTGCCTGTAGTTCTTGATACGTGGCCCTTTTCTCCCTTTACTCCAACCTCTTGTTTCTAGTGTCACACTCCTCCTTCTGTCTTTGACCTCCTCTCTCCTTTTGAGGACTCTGGTGATTATAATGGGCCCACCTGGACAATCCAGGCTAGTCTCCCTATTTTAAATTTTAGCTTCATATTTCTACTTTGCCATGTAAGCGAACATATTCACAATTCTAGATTAGACTATTAAGGCACCTTTGGGGGTGTGGGAAGGGTAGGCATTTTTCTGCCTACAAATGCCAGGCACTGTACATTCTTTGATCCTGCTTGGTTATATTTTGCCAATTAAATATATACCTGTTGCTGACAGGTAGTCATGTGTGTCCCCATGTTTCTACAAGTGCCATAAACGAATCCCTCACATCTAGTGTTCACATATTCAGATACACACGAACCTGGATCTGTTTTAGTGACACCAAAATGAAAAATACCCAGCATCTGCTACCACCCCAAATGTCAAGAGAAGGCCTTCCACTTAGGGCAGTAGCTGCGGGTCTCTCTCAGGCCTTCCATACCATAACTCATTATTTAATGATGCTGTTTATTGCCTTGTGATTATCTACCCTTTACCGCCTGTAACGATCTCTCCTTCTACAGTCCTGATGTTGCACTGTAGGATAAGCACTCGACCACATGGTTGTTTTTGAACTGCATGGTCGGTGGTTCAAATTCACTAGCCATTCCTTGGAAACCCTATATGGGGTCGCTATGAGTTAGGACTGACTCGGCAACAGCTTTCACCACCATTTAGTATAAAAGTTCACCTTTATTGGCCTCATCCATGAGGATAAGAAATACGGAAAGGTGTGGAATATATTGGGAGAATGACAGGAGATGCTGTTCATAATCAGGTAGAGTCACTAGATACAAGTGAGAACAGTCCTGAGAGCCTGGACCTTTACATGGTTGTTCTGAAGTGCCATCAGGTTGGTTCCAACTCATAGCGACCCTGTGTAGGACTTCCAAGGAGCAGCTGGTGGGTTCGAACCACCACCTTGCGACCCAGTGCATTATCCTGCAGTGCCACACCAGGACTCCTTTCCTGCCGTAGGGTATTCCTAGATGATGAGTTCATATGAGAAATAACAGCAGTGACTACTGGTTCCGAGAGTGAACTGAATACTCTGTTGGTTTGGAACAGCGTAGTAGCAGGTTTCTGTGCTTTTCCTCACTTAATGTTCACACCAGTCTTATAAGGCAGGCAGGTTATTACTATTGTGACTGTTCTAGAGTTGAAGGAAACAAAGCTCAGAAACTGAAATCACTGTCTTAAGCTAGTAAGTTGCTGAGGTTCAAGTTGAATCAGAACTATGAACGTCACTAAAATAGATGCTTTTTCTGTTGGATTATTTTGCCTTCCAGAACAGCGCTAATATTTTGGGAATGGCTGAATTGAAGAAGTTACCCTTTAAAGCTGTAGTATCTTTTTGTCAAAGAAGGTCTGTACTTTAATGAAAGACCTACATTAGTTATTAAACTGTTTTCACTGAATGAAATTAGAAAATTCTTAAGTTTATGGGGGGAGGGGGTGGTGAAAAGCAATTGTTTTGTGTTTGTTTTAGATGGAGCAGTAAAAGGGGCAGCTTGCACCTGAGTTGTATCGCCAGTCTTTGTACCTAGGACCCAAACAGTACATACACTATTTCTACTTATCTATGCTGTGTATTGATCACCGCATTCCTGCTTTTGCTATATATTTTTGTTGTTGCTAATTGCCATCACATCAGTTCTGACCCATAGCAACTCTGCATAAGGTTTGCTATACATTAGTGTATACTATTAGTGTATATGGTTGTTGTTGTTGTTGTTAAGTACCATGGACTCGGTTCTGACTCATAGTGACCCTGTACAGGGTTTCCGAGGCTATAAATCTTTATGGGAGCAGAAAGTCTCATCTTTCTCCCATGGAACGGCTGGTAGTTTCGAATTGCTGACCTTGAGGTTAGCAGCCCGATTAGTAACCACAAGGTCGGCAATTCAAGCCCACCAGCTGCTCTTCTGGAGAAATATTTACAGCCTTCAACACCTTATATGGGGCCTCTCGAATCTGAACCGACTCAACAAGGCACAGAGACTAACGCTGATAGTGTTCTTCTGTCTTTGTTTTAGGTTTGTCAGTTTGTCGTCTCTGTGAACGGGCTCAATGTGCTGCATGTAGACTACCGGAAGGTGAGCAATCTGATCCTGACAGGCCCACGGACAATTGTCATGGAGGTCATGGAGGAATTAGAATGCTGAGAAGCCGACCTTCTCCCAGCCCTTCTGTGCCTGTAGGCGGCCAAAGCCAGGGCAGGGCGAAGTCGTGCAGTGACAAGACTTTCCTGCGGTGGACGGCTGTGGACACATGAATCTTTTCTCCGTACATACACATCTTAATCTGAGTTTCACATACTGTTTGATTTGTGGAAGAACCGGGTAACCTGTCTTTAAAAATATATGTCAGTGTAGAAAATATTTGGGAAACAGAATTTTCCTACATGGTAGAATTGCCTTACTAGATTTCTTTTTGTACTTCTATTTCATTGTTGTTGTTGTTGTTTTTATCTTAGTTACTTTGCAAGAAGTTGCTGAAATGCTCTTCTAGCCAAGCCAGCAACATGTTAAAATACTCTTCATGGGAATTGGTAGAGTTGTTTTTTATCGACTCTTTCAAGTTGTACTCTCACCAAAATCAGCTTGGAATGGCTTAATAGAGGACCTAGATTTCACCTAGCTTCAAATTAAAGCAACAGCCAAAGGTTGTTAACTAGCATCATGAGGAAAGTTCAAGTGCTTAAAAGCCATCAAAAAAATGATTTTTTCTTAAATCATGTCTTTAGTAGCAACTTTTATCTTAACTTCAGTTATGGCATGCATTTAAACAACGAAGCACAGTAACAAAACTCTTATAATTGGGTGGAAGTGGGTAAGGGGATACTACTGAAAATTGTGTGGCCCTCATTCACCCTTTCTGAGCCTGTTGGTTTTTATAAATCAGCCACAGCAGTGTTCTAAAATTAATCCTGAATATGTTGAATGTCAACACAGAGAAGTGTGCATATATACATATAGTTCAAAAATCAAGCCTTCTGGCCAGATTTCACTAGACCTTGTCTCTTTCTTGAAGTTTTCTAGAACTTGACCCATATGTGATAAAATCTTGACCTGTAAATTGCCTTCTTGGCCTGAATCTACTAGCTTTCTAGTGTAACATGTTCTAACATAACATGACATGCTGCTTATTTGGGGGAATTCTCATACAAATCACCAGATTGTGTTACAGCTTTCCAGCTCACTTGTATATATGCATGTTCCCCCTATTTTTGATCTAGAAAAGAGTGAATTTGGGGGAATGGTATAGAGATGAAATTGCTCTAAGTGCCAAATTAGGGAGTCGGAATGCTAAAATTTTCTTAATTTCATATAATGAATTCTGAATGACCAGGTTACTTTCTTACCGCTCATTTACAAAATAAAATACGAATACTGTGCCTCAGTCATTTATTATCGTTAATGTAATCTATTGAAACTGGTGGGATAAACATACTATGCTGAAAATTTTATGATTTATACACATACACTGTAAGGCAACTTTTCTGATCTGTAGCTTTCGTCAGAGGACATGATTGTGAAGTAATGTAGAAAGGCTAACATTAATATTAATGATTTAAATTAGAGAAATAGTATCATCCTAATGGACATGGGCCAAGAAGTCTGCCAGGGCATCTATCTTCTGTTGTTTCCTTTAATGCTCATCACAACCTCTATTAGAGAGTGGAAGGTCGGGGTTCCTCCGCATCCCAACTCAAAGGTTCACTGCATCAGGCAGCCAAATGAACACTCGAGGTGTGCCAGGGAAATAGCTCATTCTTTTATTCAGCAAAACAGCGCTCAGCACAGGGGAAGGGGCCTCAGATAGTCTCTTGCCTGTCTCTGCATCTCTCTAGCTCTCAGCGCTTTCTCGGGCTTTCTTTCTTCTTCCGTTCTGTTCCATTCTCCGTGACTGCTTTCCTCTGTGTGTGTTGATTGTCTCTGCCTCTCACAAGGGAGAAGCTCCCTAAGTACTACTACAGAACAAAGAAGGCATCTTGCCAATTATACTCACAGGTTCTAGAACAGTGTGACGTCATTCTAATATGGCGGGCGCAGCGCAATGACTTAGCATTCCCTGGTTTCTGTCAGAACCACCAAGTCGCCCTTGGCTTGGAAGGAGAGGGTCCCTAACAAGCTATAGCCACTCCCTGGCTATCATCCGCTTCTGGCCTAACACAACCCTACAAGGTAAGTGCTATCACCCTCATTTTTCAGATGTGGAAACCAGGGCTGAGTGAAATGAAAAATGTCACAGTCAATATATATCCTTTATGTTATTGTTATTGTTGTTAAGTGCCGTCGAATCGGTTCCGACCCATAGCGACCCTGGATAGGGTTTCCGAGGAGCAGCTTATGAGCTTGAACCGTCAACCTTGCAGTTCAAACGGCTTTGCAGTCTGGTGCATTAACCCACAGCGCCACATGTTGTTATGCACCGTGGAGTCAGTTCTGACTCATAGTGACCCTGCACAGGGTTTCCCAGGCTGTAAATCTTTAAGAGAGCAGAACGCCTCATCTTTCTCCCGCAGAACAGCTGGTAGTTTCGAACTGCTGACCTTGTGGTTCATAGCCTGATTCGTAACCACTACGCTACCAAAGCTCCTTCATGAGGACTCCTTATATCATATAGATAGATAGATAGATAGATAGATAGATAGATAGATAGATAGATAGATAGAGATAGAGATATAGATATATATGTAGATATCTATATATATATGTTGTTAAGTACTGTGGAGTCGGTTCCGGCTCATAGTAACTCTGCACAGGGTTTCCGAGGCTGTAAATCTTTACGGGAGCAGAAAACCTCATCTTTCTCCCGCGAAACGGCTGGTAGTTTTGAACTGCATACCTTGAGGTTAGCAGCCAGATTCGTAACCACTACACTACCAGAATTATATGTGTGTGTGTGTGTGTGTGTGTGTGTGTGTGTGTGTGTGTGTCTACTGAATCCTAGAGCAGTTAGTCTTGTGCCCAAGGCCAGGCAGTTAGTAAGCAGGAGACTGCCCCACTCAACTTTACCACTGTCTATGACATCTTTAAATCATCAGTGTGAAATACTTTCTGTTCCCAGGTATATTCCTTAATTTACAAAAGAAGGAGACGTTCCTTTCAGGAAGTGGCATCTTCTTACCTGTCATTGCTACTTTGTTCTCATACCCTATAAGGAGCCCTGGTGTGGTGCTGTAGGATATGCACTGGACTACCACAAGGTCAGCAGTTTAAACCCACCAGCCACTTTTCCGAAACCCTATTCGTGGTTGCTATGAGTCCAAACCAACTCAACAGCACTTCATAGCAGCAACAGCTATATGTTTTAAGGATTCTTGGTGTGGCGCTGGAGGATGAGCACTGGACTGCCAACCACAAGGTGGCTGCTCAAGTCCACCACCTGCTCCCTGAAAATCCTGTACAGGGTCGCTATGAGTCAGAACAGATTCAACGGCACTAAACAACAACAACTACGTGTTTGAAGTAGTCCCTGAATGGTCCCGGCCAAGGTGCTCAGCTGCCACTCCTCAGAAACCCTGTACAGGTTTGCTTGACGGCACTGTCGTGGATAATAGCATAATGTCATTCCCTACAATCATCCTAAGTACCAGAAAAGCTGCAATCTGTCTGCTCCACTTAGTCTTCTGACTAAGTGAAACCTATGAGTTTTCTTTAAATCAGAGGGTTTTCTTGATATCCTTGGTCAAATTATTTATATCATTAAATGTCTTGGAGTTGGTGATGACTCATAGCAACCCTGTATAGATGTTCCAAGGAGTGACTGGTGAGTTTAAACCACATACCTTGTGGTTCAAACTGACCTTGCAGTCTAGTGCTTATCCTCTAGTGCCATAGCAGGAATCCAACACTCAAGTTCAATCTTTACTTCTTCCTTGGACTAACTCCATTCATATGGATATAGCCTTGGACCTCTGGCAGGTGGATTCTAGTAGGCCCTGGCCCCCTATAAGCCATCTAGTTCAACCAGCTTGATGTCTGCTTTAGGCAACTCCAGTCGGTACTGCTCCCCTCTGCTGAAGCATTTTATAGTCCCAGGGAGACTTCAGTAATCCAGGTGCAAATCACTGCCCAACCAATGGGTAAAACTATACTGCTAACTTATAAATAAAAATGTAAGTTGGTAAATGCTAAAATGGCAATGCCACATGGAGCCACAGAGCACACAGTTTAGGCTTTTCCTTTTACTGATAAGGACAATGAGATATGGACTGGTCAGGTGACTTACTAATGAGAACACTAAGATATGGAATGGTCAGGTGACTTGCCTAATCACATGAAGGTTGTTGAGGACAGAGCCTAACCAAACGCCAGTCTCCTGCTTCCTCCCAGCCTTTACAATAACCTTCTGCAGTTGAGACAGCACAGTGAAAATAGATCATGCTTTGTGATATTCATAAAATTGAAATAGTGTCATGTATCTATGAAGACAAGGTTAACCATTTTAGTTGACCCAGACCTTGTATTATTAAATTATATCACAAAAGTATTCTGTGTTATATTCTGACAGTTGACTTGCTTTAAAATGTAAGAACCTCATTCTTAATTGTAACACCAAGAGTTATCCACAGTTAACAATAAGCGATGTTTCTGGTGGGGCGCTGTGAGTTAATACACCGCTGAACTGCAGTGTCCGTTTGAACCGCAAGTTCAGTGGTTCAAGCTCACCAGCTGTTCCTTGGAAACCCTATACAGGGTCATTATGGATTCGAATGGATTCAATAGCACTTAATAACAACAGCGTTTCTAAGAGCTTTTATTTCATCTCTGCATGTATTATGTTTTCAATCTTCAAAGAGGCAATGTATTGTGTGTCAGGCTTCAGATACTGAGATCCTTACAGGAGCTTTCTTTACTGCCTTAAAAATACTTTTGATTGTTTATGTGTTTGTGATGGAGCTGGAAGTAGTTTTGTTTTAACATTAGCATAGTATGCACCATGAAAGCAAATTTGCAAGTCAGGTTTGTTAATTCTGCTGTAGAAAGACAAATGAAATTGTCTTTAAGTTTCATAGTGATGTCTGATACTTTATTATTGTTGTTGTTGTTGTTGTTAAGTGCCATTCAGTTCTGACCCATAGTGACCCTGTATGGAACTTTTCCACAGTGAATGTCAAAACTAAAGACGAGGCTATCCTCTACAAGCACAAGTATAA